CCAGGAGGCGGAGGGTGTAGTGAGCCGAGGTTACACCATTGCACTCGACAAGAGCAAAACTCTGTCTCAAAAAAAAAAAACCTTCCTCTCAAGCTTGGTGTTTGGTTGGTGGGGACTCATGGGGTTCAACATGCATATTGAGAAGTGCTGTTTCTGTTCAGGGCCGATCCACCCTAGCCACAGCATCATGTTCGTCTGCAACAACTGCAAGGTGTTCAGATTTTGTAAATCTAAATGTCATAAAAACCTTAAAAAGAAGTGCAATCCTTGCAAAGTTAGGTGGGTCAAAGCATTCCGGAAAGCAGCTGGTAAAGAGCTTACAGTGGATAATTCAATTGAATTTGAAAAATGTAGAAATGAACCTATCAAATATCAGCGAGAGCTATGGAATAAAACTACTGATGCCATGAAGAGAGTTTAAGAGATCAAAACAGAAACACCAAGCTAAATTTATAATGAACATATTGAAGAAAAATAAGAGCGATAGAAAGTTCAGGATATCAGCGAAGTCACAAAAAACATCCATCTTATCCGAAGCCCTCTTGCAGGCAAAGGGAAGCAGCTGGAAGAGAAAATTGTTACAAAAAGATGTGAACATGGAAGATGCTTCTTAAAAATATCTGTAACTGTTTCTTTTATATACATTTGAAAATGCCCTTTGGAGACATGGAAGTGCTAAATTATTAGTTTATTTTTTACATAAGTTCACTTAAATGAAAAGTGGTTATACTTTCCTACATTGCCATCTACAAAACATCAGATATTATGGATGTTAGATTGCATCTCAGTGTTACCTCTTCAATGATAGATGTACTTATGTAAATCATGGAAATTCTACTTATGGCCTGGTGCAGTGGCTCAATCTTGTAATCCCAGCACTTTCGGAAGCCAAGCAGAATGGATCATTTGAGGACAGGAGTTAGAGAGCAGCATGGCCAACATGGTGAAACCCTGTCTCTACTAAAAATACAAAAATTAGCTGGGTGTGGTGGTACATGCCTGTAATCCGAGCTACACTGGAGGCTGAGGAGAATCGCTTGAACCCAGGATGCGGAGGTTGCAGTGAGCCAAGCTTGTGCCACTGCACTCCAGCCTGGGTGACAGAGCAAGACTCTGTCTCAAACAAACAAACAAAAGATGAAAAGAAAAAAATTATTCTTATAGTTATAGAACTGAATCATGGACATAAAGTGGTTATGCCACTTGGATAATGGCACTAGGCAGCATTTGTATAATAAAATGGCAAAAATTCATGGCTAGTGATGTGTAAAATAAAATATTATTCCCTTTATTAATGTTATAGAAGGGGGATGCAACAAGGAACTAACAATTTTTATTTTTATTTTGGTATTTCCTGTTTGCTTTATTTGTATCTTGGAAGAGCATAATGACATTTTCTGGTGAAGCCTAATTATGCTTAATTACGCTGGGCTGTTTTGACCTGGTTTAGCCCTCCTGATAAGTAGTTGTGGATGTTGGGGATGAGAACGGAACACTCTTTGCCTGGAATGACATTAACTCTAGAATTTCCACTTTGGACAATACTCAGTTCTAACTTGTGATTCCTGGTAGAACAAACTTTATTTTTCTAGCCAAGCTATGATTTAGAAACAGAGGAATCCCAGTGCCTTTTTAAAGTTATTATGTGGTTTTCTTTTAAAAAGCTCCTGTTTTTGGAAAGTAGAATTTATGGGTATAACATCTGTTCATTATCTGCACATAAAATAAAGCCATTAAAAAAAAAAAAATCCCAGGACAATGAATGTCCCACTGGCACACTGGAGAAGCAGTCCAGTCTCTGGATTCAGTGTGGGTAGTGAAGTGGACTGCCTGGGTTCAAATCCTGGCTCTGTCACTTGCTGTCTGCGTGATCTTGGGCAAGTGACTTAACATATTCTCTTGGTCTTTGTTTTCCCATATGTAAAGTGGGAGCAACGGCAATACCTACTTCATGAACTGAATGAACTAATGCACATTATTCACTTGTGCAGGTCAGGGTGTACAGCTCTCAACTGCTACCTGTTATTAGCCCTAAGAACCTGCTTTTAGGAGGGCATGTCTATATGTCATTTTTAAGATCATCTATTATGATCCCTTGGGCAGATGGCAACTTGAAAATGCTTCTATGGTGATAATTCTACCACTTTGGGGTAATTAAATATTCACATGTTGATTTCCTTCACTGTATTGTGAACACAGTGAATTTCAGTCATTTTTGTTAACAAAGTACATTTAAGAAAGCATTTCTCAGAATCAGGAACCACACTGATTTACTTATTACTAGGAGAGACATTTTAATTTTGGCTAAAATGCACACTTTGAACAGAAAACATCTTTTTTTCAATTAAAAAATATTAAACAGGTAACTCTTAATCTATAATACTTTGGCCTAATAATATTACCACGAATCAATTTTTTATATCATCTATGTCCTAAAGTATTTTTCACAGGGAGTTTTGATTGTACTGGGACTTTTGGCTGAAACACCAGCATGCTGAGAATAGAGAAAACAGCAACTCAGGGTTCAAACTGAAAATTAGCTGCAAGTTGAGATCTACATCATTTATAGTTGGTGAAACTTCTAATTCACAATAGAATAGTTCCAGATAGCAGATCAACCCTATGCTTCTGGTTTTGAAAGACTCTGGTGAATGTAGTGAATACAACCTTAGCTACTTTATCAAGAACTGAGACTTATTTAATCAAGATGGGAAATAAGAGTTTATGATAGTCCAAGAACTAATAAAGTTTCTATTTTCATGTAAACTACTTAAGCACCAAGGGCAGCAAACCAGAAAAATGCACCCCAAAACAGAAGAATGGCTTCTAATTATATGGTTTTTTCTAAGTTTCATTTTAAGCAACAGACAAGTATTTAACTAAATTATTATCTATTTAGACTACTAAAATGGCTTTTCTATTGCTATCAGGATGTAATTTCAGATTCACTCAATTTCATGAAATTGACTGAGATTCAAATTATAGATCTGGTATATTTTAAATGATGCTGCATGCACCAGGCAATATTGATGTGATTATGACACTGGAGCAGCTGGACTCAGGTAATTTAGTTAACAGTATTAAATCAGAGATGTGAAATTAATTTATTAACCATGTTCATGAATATTTCTAAAATTATTATGAGGCCTGATAAATGAAACTTTCCCTTTTTCTTATTGTTCACTGGTGACACAAATCAGGCCAGAGAAATACTTAGAATACAATATTTTCAGAGTTATAAAACCAGAAAGAACTCTAAAGTGTATCTAGTCTAATGTTCTCATTTTCTAAGTAAGAAAACAGAGGATCAGGAAAAGCAGAAGAATGTAGTTGTTAAAATCCTGGGCTCTGGTCACAAAGACCTGACCAGAGGGTCTGTCTCAGATTGGAAAGTTATTCTCTGTGTTATGTTGAGCAAGCTATTCAACTGCTGTAAGCCTCCATTTCTTCATCTGTAAAATGGGGACAATAATTGTACTAGGGGATACTGTAATGACTCAGTAAATGTTAGCAACTATAATATTATTTTTATGAACAACAAGTGACTCCTAAGGTAAATAAGCAGTAACAGAACTAGAATTCAGAGTTTCTGACAGATACAGAAGCTTTTTTTTTTTTTAAATCTAAACACAGTACCTATGTTAAAAATTCACAGGTACTGACAATTTAAGTATTATATAACTTTACATCAAATAGAAGGATAACTATTTCAGTCCTTTTTGCTATTGATCAGAATATTAAATTAGTGATTACATACTTAAGTCTCAATTTCACCAAGATTCACACATATTTAGCTTTCGATAAATGATGGATATTTCATGTTACCTTCACAGCTGTTTCAGTGTAATTATATGCTTTTAAATTATTTCCCACCAAAAGCTCCTCATATAAAATAAAGGAAAAGGTATACTGGTCATAACAAAAGTCAGGATTCCACTTACTAATGAGCTTAAATTTGACTTTAGTTAGATGCTATATTGAATACGACTGATATTCTGGATTTGTACAGTTACTCAGATATCATCAGATGTTCTATACACCTGCTATGGAGGAAGCAAGAACAAGGGACACACAAAAGAAAAACAGTAACTCTCCTCTACTTCAGCTACTAGAAACAGGATAGAGATGCTTTGGCTAAAACAGACTCTTGGAATCAAGCAGCCACTAATCACAGACATTTGGAATTGCCCTTTTTTTTTTTTTTTTTTTTGAGACAGAGTTTCACTCTTGTCACCCAGGCTGGAGTGCAATGGCACAATCTCAGCTCACTGCAAGCTCTGCCTCTGGGTTCAAGCAATTCTCCTGCCTCAGGCTCTCGAGTAGCTGAGATTATGGTGCATGTCACCACACACAGCTAATTTTTGTATTTTTAGTAGAGAAGGGGTTTTGCCCTGTTGGCCAGGCTGGTCTTGAATTCCTGACTTCAGGTGATCCACCCGCCTTGGCCTCCCAAAGTGTTGGGATTACAGGATGAGCCACTGCTCCCAGCCTGGAATTGCCATTTTGGTTAACATTTGCACTTAAATATTTCATTGTACTCAAAGTTGAATATTTTTCTTAAAATTAAAAAAAACTGAATAAGAAATTGCATCAAGAATATTAGCTTTATAAAATATGCTAATACTTCTGCTTTTGATAATTTTAGTTAATTGGTGATCTTTTCAGTAAATATTCTCAGACTATCGAGTACTTAAAACCTTTTCTTATAATAAATTAAAGATAATTTTCTCCTAATCTCGAGAATGATGCAATTAATTTTAAATCTTTAAAAATAATTAAGAACAAATGTAACAGTACAAATACAGCAAATAGACATTAACTACAGTGAAATGAGTTCAAGTATAAACATGCAGAAAGCCAGAGCACCTTTTTATGTAACACCAGTGTGATTCAGTAGACCAGAAGATGAAGAAAATAGTAATTTGAAAGGTGGCAATTTGTATCCATACCCAGTATTTAGTATTTCAGCTACTAGAAATAAAGAAGTTTGTCAGACTTACCCGCATTTTTGCACAAGCATCTTGGGTTGACTCTGTCCCCCTAAGCTCTTTTATCAGCATAGAACCTAAATACTAAAATACAAAAAATATTCAATGATTTATGAAATAGAATATAAATATGAGTAACATTTTAAAAACAAATTGTGGAAGTATTACTGGCTAGGTTTCCTGGCTGCAAGTTGTTGTATAACTTTAAAAAACTGATAGTAACTAACCCTAACAAATAAATGCATTCATAGAGAAAATGCAGCAGAATTAACCATAAGTTCAGGGGGCTGTAATTGCTCTTATAATGAAACTACAGCATCTTCTAAAGATGACATCTTTCAAATCATATTTAACTGCAAAATGGGGCATCTAAAAATGTTTCCCCCCCTTTTTTTTTTTGGAGGCAGCAATGTCTGCAAAAATAAATCACACTACTATCTCTGTAATTACAGGGTTGCATGAGACAGCTGAGAAGCTAAGCAACATGTCCCCCATTTGGGCCTATTCTGCTGCATAGGTAATTAATGTGAGGCTCTTAGGCAGAGATGCGGTTTTGGACCTTTTTCATTCAACAGCTGTGTGCCCTATGGTTGATCCACCTGAGAACGAGATTTGAGGGTGGGGGAAGGGAGAATGGCATTCTCAGTTGTTTCACAGGGGAAAAGAGTTGGGTTCCTGGTGCAAAGTGCTACCTGGAGGGCTGAATGGATGTAGAAGAATGACAAAGTCTTCTGCCAAGAATTGTCAACCACTTTGCTGTTAGAAGACTATATCCAATACTACATCATCCTGGTACAAATTGCCCCTCGTTCTCTAGCTTCTGGCTGGGGGCAAATGGTTTTAAACAAAATGTCTGATATGCCTATCAATTGACTCCTCTTCAACCTTTTGAAGCTTTAGTAGGGTCTTTTCCTTTTGTCATTTCCCTCGCTCCATGCCCTTCTTCCCCAACCCCCAAAGAGCACTATATATGTTGTTTAAAAAAGTGAATTACAATAATTATTTTAGAAGATATTTGATGGACACTTCCTGACAAGACTGGAGATATCCTAATACTGTGCAGAGATGGGGATGGGAACCTGTCTTGTGGACCAGGGAAGTCCCTGATTTGAAGAGGATGTGAGAGGACACAACAGCAGAAGGCGTGGTCAGGACCTTGGAGAAAGGCATGTTCAAAAAGTCTCAGGGACTTGGGATTTGAGTTTTGGAGGAGGGAGCCATTTCAATTCTACAGGTTTGGGCAATACCACTGAAATAAATTCAAAGCTGCAATATAAGTAAGCAGTAAAAGAGGGGCAGAAAGCAGAAAATGAAAAAAGAAAAAGCCCAACCGCTGTAAGATAACCGCAATATCCACCTTAATCAAATGAAGGTGAAATTCATTATCTTTTGGTAAAATCCTTATCTTTTAAGCTATTGGAAAAGTTTGTCCTATTGAAATTTTTTTTTAAGAGAGCCAGTTTCAATGCGCTGCTGAAGGTTCAGCCGCTTTTTTCTGCTGTCGTCATGACAACCACCACCTGACCCAAAACCTACGGTATCTTTTGAACATTTACTTGTTCCTACCTACATTTCTCAGCTAAGTGTAATTAGCTCCCCTCTTCTGAAAAAACAACAACTATAAAAGCAAAATAGTATAATCCTATTGACGACAGCGAAAATAATCTGGTATTTACATAAAGTGGTAGACTCAATGTTTTGAGACCCAATGTTTGGTGAGTGAGCAGAGATGTATATATGTGCCGTATTTTACTCATTTCAAGATTGTGCTTTATCACATTTATTTAAAAATATATAACTACACAGAGTCACAATAGGCCTTAAACTTACAAGACTAAAAATGTTTTAAAGCTCTAGTTATTTGGACTTTCTCTTTGGATAGAAGGCTACTTTAAGAAAAAAGTGAAGAGAAAAACACTTGAAAAATTTCAGTCATGGATATGGATATTTTGGCATATTTTCAATATAAATGCAAACAAACCAAAACATACCCCCATTTCCACTTGGGCCCAAATATTGAATTGAGGGTAACTTACAAAAGCTTTGTAATCACATGACTGGAAGATAAGCTTTTCTGGGTGATGCTGCCAGTACTGTACCGGAGTGGAGGCTGTGGCTTCATTTGGAGGTCGCAAGGTAATAGAAGGTTCTCCCCAGTCTCCTGTCTGAAAATGACATTTATTCTAGAGGCAATATGAGCAGTCAGCAAAGTTCATTCCCTATAACTACCCTGAGCTTACCTTACACACATGTGCTGTGAATGTGCCAATGCATTTGGGTGTCATATGTGAATATAAATACTTTGACTGGTTATTACATTTTTATGTGTATTAGCATATTTCTCAAGGCTGTTAATTTTTGAGGTGTGGAATTGAATTATTCTATTTTTAGCATGACACCCTAAGCTAAGTCACTTTAAAATAAAACATGAAGATATTCATAAATGATTTACTAATTCACAATTTTCCATCCAACAGCAAAGGACATACAATCTTTGAAAGAATTTTCTATCTGTTTTTAAACCTGACTGAAATTTTTAGTTTCAATTGCTTTCACATTCGGAACACACAGTTCTATAAATTTCAGTTCCCAAATATGACATGTACTAGCCACTTTGAATAATTTTAGATCTCTGGAGAACTGGAACTGTAAGCATGATGCTAAACAAAATTTTAAAAGAAAAATTTACTAATAGGGGACAACTAGTTTCTCTCATCTGAATTCAGTTCCACTGATTTAATGACACTGTGATTGTCTCAGATGTATTCAGCTACTTTCCTCAGAAAACCTAATGTACCAATGAAGACTAAACAGTGAAATGCTAAGTTTGGTCACATGTACATATACATGTACTTTGAGGATTCTGATTCATAAATTCAAGCACATTCCCAAATAATGGTATATCATATAATACAGACCTAAAACAGGAGGACCTCCCATCATTTCATTTATCATTTTCCATGATGTTAACCTCAAACTGTTTCATCACTGTAATAGCTTAGTTTGAGCATCTATAAAATCAAAGGCCAGTGATGGTAGGTATTTTCTGGGCTCTACTCTGATTTACATACTACACATGAGATGTTTCTTACTCTTTTTCTCCTGTGAAAGATTTGGATTCTTCAAAACTCAGTTCTTCATTCTCAAATGGACATAACTAAGACTAAACAATAGGCAAATTTCTAGTTACTCTCTTCTAACTAGATTTGGCTATATATGAGAAATTTCTATATATGAGAAATTACTTTTCTTGGGACTTGGAAGAGTGTAAAAAGGTCTCATAAACTCCAAAACCAAATAAAACCTTGGTTAGAGACCAAGATCCATAGAAGTGCTAGCAAGTGTGTTGACACACTGTGGGATTTCTTAAGGAGAATTTTTAAGGAGTCTAGGACAAGAATGCAAAAATTTGGATGCAGGTGTATGTTCTGGGAGAGAAAGGAAGTTCACTGCTTTCACTAAATTCTTTGAAATAATCTAGAAATTCCAAAAGATTAAGAACCACAATTCTCTAGGAATGGCGTTAAGTAGGGAGGGGCATATTTTGGGGAGGAGAACTAACTCTCCAATTTTCTTTGTGCAGTTTGGACTTACATTAGGTGGCATATGAGGTGGCTGCCAACGATAAAAAGTCCTTTCTAGAGGACTTCAGTAATGCATAGCCTTTTTCCTTTTTTTTTTTTTTTTTTTTTTTAAGCAGTGGAGTGCCTGAAGCTTTTCTCAAGATGGGTCACTTCGAATTGCAGGAGTAGCGAAAGAGCAAAGTTAGCATCACGCTATTTCCTTGGCTTCTCACTGTAGTTAGTGCTGACTAGTTGGAACTCCTTCAGCTCTCGCTCCTACTCTGTTCTCAGTCACTCTCCACATCAGTATTGTTTTGTTTGCTGATTCACTTTTACATCACCTGATCTTCCTATTCCCTGTTGGTATTTTTGATTTTTGAACACATTTATGGGACATATGTGAAATTCTGTTATATGTATATTGCCTGTTGGTATTGTTAAGACTTTGCTTGCAATATTAACTTTAGCATTTTTGTCAGTTTTATTATCCATCCCTGACTCATTCTTAAGTTTTTCTTTTATATTTATATGAATTTTTAGTATGTAAAAGTGATAACTGACTACAATTCTAAAATTAGATTAAGTTTTTCTTCGGCTTCTTATTTTGATTTTTTTCTTTTCTTTCTCAAATGGCTGACGCTTTATTCTCTCTCAGGTTTTTATTTCAACTGGCTGTAACTTACTTTCAAAAACTAGTATAAAATTCAAAATATAGGATATATGGATTTCAATATCATTTTGAAGCTGAGTGTAATAACCTTTAAGTGATAATAGCTTCAAACTCTGGAAACATGCAGCTATGGGTTCTTAAACAAAAACTTTACCCAAATCTAGCAAATCATCCTCTAATCTTCCCCATTAAACTTCTCCCTCCTTCTCCCGCTCCCTCGATAAAGCAACAACAACATGGCAAACAGGTATTGTACATTTAAGTCACAGGTGACACTGGTAACAAAACAACAGAAGTTTGCATGCAACTCCATGGAATGATACAAAAGGAGGAGCTGGTTGGCTTCCAAAGATCCTTTGATCCAGTGTCTGCTGATGTGACAACTCAAACCAAGCATCAGATCTTCATGTGAGCCCTATTAGAGTTCAGCAGAGGTAGACCTTGGCCAAGTTCAACAGGCAGTTTTCAAAAAAGTCTGAAGATGGCATGAGCTGGGGGTGCTGTAAGTTGCAGGGCCAGGGCTGGGAATAGGGCTGGGGGTGGGAATGAGTTGCAGGAAGCTAGGGTTATGGAAACATTTCACAGGTTAGTACATTAAGCATGCAAATCATATGCAAACTCATTCTCTAATTGTTCAATTAACTCACACACTTTTATAATTAAACTTTAATGTGAGTTCCATACATTTAAAGCCAGAGCTTCAGCCAAATGCTGATTCAAATATTTACATCATCCACATAAGTTGTAGCAGCCATTGTGGGAATAACAAGCCCCAGCACATACATTCCACTCTCAGTCTGGAAGTCACTGAAATCCCTTCTTTGATAACCACTTGAAGAAATTAGTGGAACATTCACTTAACTCTGTTTAGACAGCGCCATCATCTGCTCTCCTATGACTCCACTTTGTCCAAAAATCACAACTACTTGCGTTGAATTCAGCGTGACCTGATAGGACCTTCCCTAGGTGCTAAGGTGGAGATACTTATAAGGAAAATAAATAGAATCCTTATTTTATTTTCTTTGTGGTCTTCAACCATTGTTTCAGTCCAAATATTGTTAAATTCCCTATGGGGACTGAATCTAGCTTTCTGGAAAGACACTGAATTTTATCATATTTAGTGCTATTTCCAGAAATTCATTTTGAAATAGAGCAAAAAGTGTTCTTAAGATTGAATTTATAAGAAAATAAATTTCTTTTCTGCCTGGAAATTCATCAACTTCTCTCCCCACCCCTGCCTATTTTTCCTTTTTAACCTTAGATCTAATAATATTCAGAGGACTCAATTTATAGATGTTAATTCTTCTTTTTGGAATTAATTTAATGGGAACAGATGGATTCCAACAACTGAACTTAACATTACACAGTTGTAAAGGACAGGTATAACCTTGGCCCTTGGCTGGGATTCAGCTTTACCTGGTTGACTGCTAGTAAGAACAAAAGAGTTCAGAGAACAAGGGTGCCTTAGGTCTCAACCCTCCTGGAGGCTGAATTACAGCAGGAATGAGCTATGGAGGAATTAGGTAGAGTAGTTACTATATGGAATGGAAGAAGAGCTCAAAAAAGAAATAAAGATTTTTGCCTCACACATAAAATAATTTTGAACTTTGAAGCCTAGTGTTAGGTCTTGTTGACTAGTATATTCATGTCTAGATAATACTTATGTCTCCTCAAGCAATTATTTTTAAATTTAGTAATTTTCCACTTAAAATGCTTATTAAATATTAACAGACCTAAGAAGTCTTTTCTCTCAATAATGGTTTACAATCAAATCTTATCTTTAATGAAAAGTAGATCTAAACAAAGCTAACAATAAAATGTTTAATTAGAATAACAAAATGAAGTAGGAAAAGTTTGGGGTAGAATTCTGTCATATTTTAAACTATTATTGACACAGTGGTCTTTAGAAGGATTCCATAAGTGATTATAAATGAGAAATTAAAATGATTCAAGGTACTCCTATCCTAATAAACGTCTTCAGACTATCTCTCTGGCACTTAAAATACAGAAAATCTTTCCTTTAGGTCCATGTATTTGAATGATCTTAATATTCCAAGAATTTTTTCATGGCTTAAAACTTCATTTAATTGGCATTTATTATTATTTTTTTATCTGTATGCCTTACGAGTTTTTCTTTTCTTTTTTTATAAGCACACTAAAGAACATCAATTAAACAGAGGAAAATGTACATTAGCTCTCTTCTTCAAACTCAAATAAAAACTAAACCTCTAACATAAAGGAAATACAATTTGAGATTAGAATTTTAAATGGAGAACTGATTCTGTTTAGCACGTATTTGCAACTGCCAACTATAAATTCATAGTCTGGCTGAGTCTGAAGGACTATAATTGGGCCATATCTAATATAATGTAATTAAAGTAAACATTCTCTTATACCATCAGCTGAAAAACATAAAAGCATCAATGGAATTTAGTTAAAAAACAAAAAACTTCACAGAAGTCTATAGAGAGATTTTTACTGGATGGCAGATTCCAAATTGCAGCTTTTAAAGTTTGCATTACTTCGACAGGTGGTAAATAGCTGCAAATTTTTAGTTCACATGCACTGGACACCTACTGCAAATTCTAAAACAAGTCATACCAGGTAGCTATCTTCCTCCAAAAGGGAAACTGAATATTACATATTCTATATGCTTTGAGAATACAAAGGGAAAACCCTTCTGTTCTGTTCTTTTCTTTTTTCAAGACAGAGTCTCACTCTGTCACCCAGGCTGGAGTGCAATGGCAAGATCTTGGCTCACTGCAACCTTCGCTTCCTAGGTTCCAGCCATTCTCCTGCCTCAGTCTCCCAAGTGGCTGGGATTATAGCCATGTGCCACCACACCTGGCTAACTTTTGTATATTTAATAGAAAGAGGGTTTCACCATGTTGGCCAGGCTGGTCTCAAACTCCTGGCCTCAAGTGATCCGCCCGCCTTGGCCTCCCAAAGTGCTGGGATTACAGGCATAAGCCACCGCACCTGGCCTTTATGTTATTTTCTTCTTGATAAAAAAGTTTCCTAAGGATGTCAGTAGATAATTAAAAGCCATGCTTACAACTTAGTTTTCTAACATTAATAGAAAAGTATGGCATTTTCCAAGCCTTGTATTATGCTTTAAATTTTTTAAAAATTAGGATGTAATTGATTTTTAAAAATAGAACCTTTAAAATCTTTTCTATGACGACTGCTCCCACCTACCTGCTTGTAAATTTAGATCTGAATATTAACAAACATTATTCTCAATTTCTTCAGAACACTTAATGAAAACTAAAATGATTTCAAAGGACAATTACTGTTGTAAGGTTTTGCTTTCAATAATTCTGACAAATTTCAGAGATGGGCTACCCAAAGATACATAAAATATATGTGATTACATTTACTTCCTGTAATCTCTAAGGCTTTGAAGAATGCTATACACAGCTCTATGCTTATAAATATGCATACATATATTTGAATGTGAATGTAAGGAAAAGGCTTCCTATAAACATTCACACACATGAAAAGAGGCTGTGGTACTTATTCTTTCAAAAAATCTCCAAGAATGAAGAATGCTAGTTTGATCAAATGCAGTTAGTTATACTGAATTTGTTCTTTTAGATGAAAAAGAGCAGAGATGGCTACTTCTGAATGCATAAAAGCTCTGGTTAGCATTTATGAGTTCAGGAGGAACTGCTGGGTCACGCGAACACCAGTACCAGGTAATGTATAGACACCACAGTCCTTAAAAGCCAGAGGTCCCATGCATAGGAGGACATATGTGCCTGATGCAGCATCCCAAAAGGCGCCTCACAAAAATGCCTCTGGCATCCCTTCACATGCCGCCCCAAGAATTCTGCTCAGTGATTCTCAACCAAATGTCTCAACCTCTCAGACAGCAGGCTATCCAATGGGAGAAATTCAACAAGATGTGAAAATAGAACAGTATTTTAAAATACAGAACATAAAAACCCAAACATTTGAATGTTTATTTTCCAAATAGAAATAAACTTTTTCTAAAGTATGCAAAGGTGAAATATGAACATTTGAAAATTATGCAGCTCAGAGTAAAATGGATCACAATTTCACACAATTTGCAAAGATCAATTCAGTACTGTCAAATGGAAAAAGGCTGAGAACCACTTCGTAGCTGTAACCGTGCCTCTCCCAGCTCACCTCCCCCCACATTTGCATAAAATGTATACAGAATAACATGCAAATCATACTCAGAAATTTCTCACAAGTAAAGCACATGAATCTTTGAGAATCATTAGACACAAGGGGTTGAATAGTCCATGAACATGAGGAAGTACAAAATAGGGAAGAATAACACTGATATATACATGTATGTATATATATATATATCAATTTACCCTTTTCTGTTTCCTGTAAAAGCAAGTTAACACAGATGCCTGGAATGAAAGCCAAAACTCACATGGGACATATTTTAACCGTAGACTTTAAAACCAAATATGTTTCTTGTTTTAGGACAATGTTTGCACATCAACTAATCACAAGGCACAGTAAATGAAGTATAATAGACAAAGAGTCTTGGAGTCACCAGACATTATGAATTTTCTGCATTGCCAGGACACAGTACCTATAGCTGTTGACAACACTGTGCAACACAGTACATAGCGCAAGTTCAGGAGGAGAAAAGAACTATTTGTAACCTTACATTATGAACCTGATGGATCGCTGAGAAAGGAAATCCTGCGTTCTGATTCGTCCATATTTCACAGACAGACGACTGCTGATATAAACAGAAAACTATCTTATCTTGTCAATATTTAAAACATGGCAGCTACCAAGGTAGCACCCGGGAAGGAAAAGAGGAAAATATTAAAATGCAAAGAATCACATTAAAAAAACCTCAAAAAATGTTTTAGGGTGCTCAAGGTTTAATAATGAACTTCCAAGTCATTCTTTTTGCTTTAAAACATTTTGAATTGGCTGAGAAAAATCATTTATGCATTTATGCAAGGGCAATTAACAATAAATTCACACCTTGGAAAAAAGCAAATTGTATTTTATATCTGCCAGAAAACCAGAAATACCTTCCCCCCGTCACATCACTACTTTCAGAGGATATTTTCATCAACTTCAAGAAAAACAGGAAAAAACCTTTAACACAGGTCCAACATTTTTTTTTTCTTATCTTCAATGACCAAGAGCAGACAGTACAATAAAATGACTTTTCCTGATTTAGTCACTGCTCTGTTTGATAAACCTAGAAGATATTTATGCCTCCAGAGTTCTTACAGGCAAAACTTTGTAGTTAACAAAGGAAGACGTGTCTGCTTGCTACCCAGCACTGAGAGGAGTGAAGGAGGTGGCAGGAAGGAGGCTGGGGCAGGGAAGGACTGAGGTTAGGGAAATTCAGTTCTGTTCCTTAAGCAGAAACCCTTGGGAACAGCATTTGTGAGTCTAATGATTCAGCTCCATAATTCTGCCTCTCCCACACACCATTAATAAGATAAAGCAGTAATGTTTTCTCAGAACCAAACAGCAAACTAACCAGCATCTCCTCCCAGGAGTTACAGCAGAAACCTTCAAACAGACTGACTGAGCTCTTAGCTTGACCCATCCCAAGTTCTGTTCCTGAATTTCATCATTCTAAAAGACACTGTGAAATTAAATCATAGAAAATGGCAGAGTGTGTAAACTTATTCAGCAAGCCCCATGAGCATCTTTAGCATTCACAAGCAGTCCATACAAATATCACTGCAGGGAGAAGGCAAGCACGTAACCACAATATGGTTAACACACCCAGCAAAGAACTATTATCATCAACAAACAAACGATGGAAAAGAAAGCTTATCCCTAGCTAAACATTTCCCTACCCCAGAAATGCTCATTAGCAATTTAACACCTCTCTCTAGTTAAAATAGCACCTCCATACACCCCATACACCTTTGTTTTCCATCTCTACTGCTAACCAGAGGCTAGATGGACACAGACCATCAGGAAGATGTCCCTCTGTTAAGGAAGTTAGTTCCCCAGGGTCTGACCAAAGGCACTTCCAAACACCTTTCACATAAACCAGCTCTGCTATCCTCAGTTCCCTCTCTAAACTTTATGCTATTTTATACATCCATAGGGGGTTCTTCCTCTTTTTACCTTTCTAGCAAGTTCAGTTTTGGACCCATCCCCTCTGTTGGCTTGTGTCCAGTAGGTGGCATCTGACATGAATGTACTAACTCCATGCCTTAGCTGGATTACCATCTTAACTGTCACTCTCACCCAGTCCTGAGCTAATTCTTTACATAAATCACATCTACAATGTTCACACACTTCTAGTGTTAATCTAGTGCTAGAAGTGCTTCTAGTGCAAAATCATCCAGAAACCACCTGCCATCTGATAGATGAAGACACAGATATTTAGAGAGGTGAAATGGCTTGCTCAGGTCACAGAGGTGAGTGGTGCAATGTGTCAGCCTGCTGGAATGGCTAAGAAGGAGTGTGAGCCTGCTACTGATGTCACCAGAAGGCAGAGGGCCATTCCAGCTATATAGAACTTGGTTCTACTGACCCTGAAATGAATTGAAAACTAAAAATAAAATCCTAAATCCCCTCACTGACTGAATGGATCCCCTTGTGGCCAAGGGGACCCCAGAAAAAAATCTTAAAATTGAGTTTCTGACCATGATGGGATAGGAGGTCAGACAAGCCTCATCATACCCCCCCTCTTTTATGGCTTAGACACAACAACTGAACAGAATTAATGTTAAAATGGAAATCATAAGACTGACAGACAGTCTCTTTGTGGCAATAAGATACCAAATTATCAACAGGACCTGAGGCCATGCCAGGCAAAGGTTAAGTCACAAACCTCTACACCTAAAGAATAAACTACGTTCCAACTGCCACAAGGTTTTTCTTTTTCTCTAGCAGCTAAACAGGCACTGGCTTTAAGAGAAGCAATATCAAAACAATTTGCAGCTCTACCAGATGCTGACTGGCTCTCAGCCCCTGCTCCAACAGCCATAACTACAGCTGGACAAGAGACTGATCAGTAGCTTTATCCAAATAAGATCACTGACCATGGACTAGTTCTGGCTGGTCTACAGAGATTGCACACTTCCGTGCCTTCATGTCCTGAAAGGCCCTTCTGATGTATGGGACCTAACTGTAATACATCTAAATGTTAAGTTTCCAACCCAAAGTGAACACAGGTCACATGCTACATGCATGTTTGTTCAATACACATGTGTCAGGACCACCTGCATGAATATTCACAGCTCTTGTAACACATTGAATATGCATGCTTAGCTAACCGGTTCAGCATAAATCTTCTCCCCTAAGCCCTTCTCCTTCAAAGTGCCTATCTCTGGGGTCTTGGCTGGAGGTGCTTCCCAGCCTGCAGGATGACTACCTTGCAGGCTGTAACCCTCTAGAAGAAATAGTCTCCTTCTCGCCTTTACTAAATTCATATATATATATAGATATATATATATATATTAACACAAGTATATCTAAATGCAAATGCAGTCAGTTCATGGAACAGTCTTAACTGTACTGGGGTCCAAATACCGAAAAGTTGTTTTAGGTTGTTTTGTTTACTCCCAAAGGGGCCATGCCCAGTCTGCCTGCCTGATGCGCACCAGGCCATTTAAAATTTTGCCCAGACTACATAACTTCCTGGTCACTTTGAATCATGAAGACTCCATTTTGTATGAAATCCAAACTCACATCTGATTCAAACTTTTCCCTCCCTCATTGTGTGCCAGTCTTGGGGCTTAAAAAGCCTGGGGTGGGTAAGAGAAGCTCAGTCTGTACTTTGACTTTTCCCAGGAGAGGGGAAGGCAGGTGTCAGGGTCTATCTCAGATGTTCCCTGCCCCAAGCTCTGCCTACTTCATGTGTTTAGCTGGAGAGGAAAAAAACAGGAAAAGGACGAGGCTGCTTTCTTGTCTGGCTGTTCCTTTGACAGCCAGCACTGGTTTTCAGCTAATGTTAACATGGCCTCCCATGTGCTCTGCACAGCGGCTGCTCCAACCTAGGTTTTCCTGTGTCCCTGTGTGAGTTCTCTGAAGGGCTCTTCCAGGGCAGAGGGTAGGTCCCCCCACTGCACAGTTCCTGGTGGCAGAAATCTGGCTCTAGCTTGACTTCTTCCAATTCTCACTTAGCCCTCCTAGGACACATGCACTCCCCTGAAGGGGATCCAGGGGAAGGGTATAACCCCAGCCTCCTCCTGCTCATCCATGTGGTCCACAGGACATGGACACATCCTTGTCACACAGAACAGCAGAAGGGCTGGCTTCTCTATGAACACTCCCTGTCTCTGCCAGGGCATCTCTCCCTAAGACTCTCTGTGTCAGCTCAGTAGGTGCTATGTGACCTGCCTGCCAGAAGTCCAGTTATGGATAGCAAGACCAGTCTTCCCTCCTGGCAGGCATCCCCAAGCCAGATGTATATTTCTCTTGTACCCCTTCTCATTGGGATTCGAGAGCATGGGAATGCACTCTGTCTCCTCTCTCATGGGAAGGGAGGAAAAGCCTTAGTTCTTTCCACAAGACCCACACAATTATCTGTCCTTCCCCAGAACTAGCCAATATTCTGCTTATGTGGAGAGGTGGCTGACTGGGGCAGAGCAGGATTCACTGCCTCCTTGTAAGCCCTGGACTAGGTGTCTGGCTCCAGGATTGACAATTTTCTCTTTAGGGCATGCAAGTGCTTTGTATGTACAGGAAAATTCCCACTTAGCATCCTGGGAATAAACATTCCAATAGTAAACAGATCTTCCACTAGTCACAGAAAGTTACCAGAGTTAAGAAGGGAGGAGAGAACCCCACACCACACTTATTTCATTAAAAAAAAAACATACAAAAATTTTCTCAATGAAGAATAAAGAACCTACCCCTAGTCATATACACTGAGAGTTCACATATGGGTTATGTGCATTTTTAGATGTTATAGTAAATATTTTATATTTGTAAGCTATGTTTTAATTTAGAGAAAGTAAAACCTCTATAATTTCTAATACCGTCATGCACAACATAACGAGGTTTCAGTCAATCACAAACTGCATATGCTACAGGGGTCTCATAAGATTACAACACCATATTTTCACTGTAACTTTTGTGGGGGCTGGAAGAAGTCAAGCTAGAGCCAGATTTAGGTATATTCAGATACACAAATACTATTATGTTACAATCACATACAGTATTCAACACAGTGAAATGCTGCACAGGTTAGTAGGAGCAACAGGCTAGACCATATAGCCTAGCTGTGCAGCAGGTGACACCATCTCACTTCGGGTAAATACACACGACAATGTTTACATGACAAAATCACCTAACGATGCATTTCTCAGAAAATATCCCCACCATTAGGTTATGCATGACTGTCACTGTGTCAGTGCAAATGGTAAAGAGTCAGGATTGAAAAGAGTTTAAAATAAAAGCAGTTAATTCTGTTTGAGTTGTGAAAATTATTATTTTTTTGATATAGAGTCTTTGCTCTGTTGCTCAGGCTGGAGTGCAGTGGTGCAATCTTGGCTCACTGCAACCTCCGCTTCCTGGGTTCCAGTGATTCTTGTGCCTCAGCTATCTGAGTAGCTGGGACTACAGGTATGTGCCACCATACCCAGCTAATTTCTGTATTTTTAGTATATATGGGGTTTCATCATGTTGCCCAGGCTGGTCTCAAACTCCTGGCCTCAAGTAATCCACCCACCTTAGATTCCCAAAGTGCTGGGATGAAAATTACTTTTTTTAAAAAAGCTGATGCATTCCAGATACCAGTAGTTTTGT